GAAGTCGGCCCCGGCAATCTTTCAGCAGATCATGGATACGATGCTACAGGGAATACCTTATGCCGCTGCATACCTGGACGATATCATTATCATGGGATCTAACCAGGAAGAACTACACCAACGAACGGAACTCGTGCTTGACAGAATAAAGGAGTATGGTTTTCGCCTACGAATGGACAAGTGTGTTTTTCATGACCTTCATTAAAAACCTGAGCTTTACCATTGACCAGAATGGACGAAAGCCTGCTCCATTAAACATCAAGGCCTCGTCCAAGGACTAACAACATTGAGATCATGCCTAGGTATAGTCTGTGATTACAGTACCTACCTGCTGTCCATGCACGACCTACGCGGACCATTAAACCGGTTGCTGATGAAGGACGTTCCCTGGGTCTAAACTACCGAATGTCAGGAAACCTATGACAGGATCGAGTCGTTATTAAGCTCAGAACTGATGCTAACGCGCTACGATCCAAAACTGCCAATTGTAGTGGCATCGGATGAATCCAGCTACGGGGCTGGAGCGATCATCACCCACATTTTCCCAGACGGGTCTGAGAAGCCACTCGTTCACTGACAGCAGCAGAAAGAAACTATAGCCAAATTGTAAGGTAGGCTCTCGCTATTGTGTTGGCAGTGAAACATTTACACTATATATGGCCAACACTTTACCTTACTAACGGACCACAAACCGCTTCTTGCTATATTCGGCTCGAAGAAAGGAATTCCTGTATATACGGCCAATCGTCTGCAGAGATGGGCGACAACTTTGCTGGGGTACGATTTCAACATCAAGTACCGATCGACGAGCGACATTTGTCAGGCCGATGCGCTGTCACGGTTGTTAGACGAACAGCACCAACCAGAAGACACTGTCGTTGCAAATGTCTCAATCGAAACGGAAGTTAACCGTGTACTCTCGGATACTGTGAGCCAGCTTCCAATATCTTTCAGTCAGATTCGAGACGCCACCTTACGGGACCCGCTGCTGTCACAGGTGAGCACGTTTTACCACTCACAGTGGCCTCGAAAATTTTCCGACGCACAGCTACAACAATTGTTCCAGAGACGAAATGCACTATCGGTCGTCGAAGACTGTATCTTGTTTGGTGAACGTGTCGTCATCCCAGCCGAACTTCAATCCAAAGTCCTACATCAATTTCATACTGGACATCCCGGCTCCAACAGGACGAAGACTCTAGCGAGGAGTTATGTGTGCTGGCCATTTATGGATTCTCAAATTGAAGAGTTAGCACGCTCCTCTTCAAAGTGTGCCCTAGCAGCAAAATCGCCGCGGAAATACGAACTGTTCTCCTGGTCGACACTTACGAAACCATGGTCAAGGGTTCACCTTTATTTCGCAGGGTCAATCAAAGGACAGCACTTACTTATCATCGATGCATAATGCAAATGGCCCGAGATCTTCCAAATATCCAACACATCAACATCGGTCACGATTACAATCCTCAGGGAAGTATTCAGTCAGTTCGGTTTTCCGGTACCAGTAGTATCGGACAATGGACCTCAGTTTACCTCTTTACACAGCTGAATTCTGCGCGGTACAAGGCATACAGCATGTGCGCTCACTTCCTTATCATCCACAGTCAAATGGGCAAGCTGAACGATACATTCAAGAGGGCTCTGCTCAAAGCTGAAGGAGACGGACCAATTCAAGAGGTCCTACCAAGTTTTCTGTAACGTACAGGATTACGGCTAATCCACAAACGCCTGAAGGGAAGTCCCCAGCAGAATCGCTCCTGCTTAGAACGCTTCGAACGAAATTTGATCTAAAAAGGCCGTCGGATAGACCCAATCCCGAAAGAAACTGGATAATGGAGCACCAGTACAAACGAAGGCATCGCGCTATACCATGACACTTCGAAGTTGGACAGAAAGTGTTGGCAAAGGACTAACGGAACAACCAAATCTCATTGGCACACTGGAATTGTTGTAAAAAAAGATATAGCCATGTCTGTTATGAAGTGGCGTAGGCCTCGACAAACTGGATCCGCCACATCAATCAACTCAGGAAGCTACCACCATCATTGAGACAGAAGAGAATATTCCCTAACAACCGCTCATTGAATTACTCCTGGACGAGTACAAACTACCAAAACCAGACGGCTACTCAAGCAAGAGACACCTATCAATCCAACAACCTCTCCTTCACCCGATCGTCGACCCAGAAGATGGCCCAATCGTTGCCGAGTTTCTGTCACGCCGCTCCAGGTTAACCCCAGGCTGAAATCATATGACAGTGGACTTCAACTGGGGAGTGTTAGGAGGGGCACGTCCTAACGAATGGATCAGTGAAACCAAATAATGTGTATGACTGGACGCTAAATGCGTGCATCCATCTGCCATAATTATTGATTAATAATTTGGACTCTGTGTTCATGTGCCCTCAAGTGCCTCGCACGTCCTGTTGCGGTATTTTTGAGACTGACTGTTACGCAATTATCCATCTTATTACACAGACGTATTTCTGTTTTCGTTTGGCTTAACAATAACAGTTGCACAAAATACCTATTCCGAGGTGCCTACACTCGAACTACACATAGTTCAGCTCGACAGCTTCTTAACAACAATTATACGCTGACTATACCAAGGGCAGAACAAGCATTCACCTAAATTTCTTCTCGGGCAGATATATCTACCTGCGGAATAAACCGATAATCACACTCAGTTCACGTGATAATGTCTCAACATTTATCAACAAACGCTCGAAGCGCCTTGAACTGAATACAATAATGGCTATATTCACATGGGCTAAAAACATCTAAACGCTCACGTTTGCAAACCTTGGCTTTCGCCTCGACCATCCAATAAAACACTACTAATTTATTCACACGTCCCAAATACCACACAGCCATATCGCCCGCACAAGAGCATGGTTAGTTTTGTACCAATTGATCTGTTCCGCGACAGATAGCTTCTCGCACCGCGAGAAATATACGTATTATTAGTGTCGGTACATTAAAACGAAAGTCTAAGTTATAATATCTAACGTGAGACATAGCAGTTCGGAGTGTCCGAATTGCAAAGACGGGGCCTTTAAATAGACCGCTACCTTTCTCAGCAGGACATCGTTTTTTACGGGTAGCTATGCGGATACATCAGGTTATTGGAATATTTTGAGATTGTCCTTGCTTATGCCATTTTCGAAGTCACTGACTTTTTGCGAAAACCTCAAGACACGGCGCATTATCAAGCAACCATTCGATAAATTGAGGATGTATCCTCCTGGTTGGAAAATTGATCGATGCTGCCCTGTCCACAGAATGCAAATGCGAATTTTTCTGTCCAGAAACGTATATATGTTGTTTGTTGATACCGGACCGTTACTTTTAAGGACACCTGTACACAATATTCCTCTTCATACTCATACAAATTTTCATTGCTGACGATGTCATTTCAGCACATCCGTAGCCAATATTGTAAAGTAATGAAAATATGCTCATCTGGGCACATAAAGCTTATTTTTATTTGACTTGATTTGGTTTCAAAAATCGCTTTGCAGTGTGTTTAATAAATGGTGGAAGTGGACGAAAAATGAGGCTGTCTCAGGCTTTACAAAAAAGCTTTATTCAATTAAAACTCGTGCGGCAACTTACCTGACACTATACCCGAGGCAACAGTAGCGGCGTGAGAACTCTTCTGTCCGGCATTCTCTGTGCTTTGAGTGGCACTACCCACACTTATCGCACCTGCCGGTGTAGACGCCGTAGGAGCGTTAGTAGGATTTGTGCTCCCAGTTGCTGATGGAGGTCCTGCCGTAGCGCTCGAGGCTGCAGGAGAGACGGCGCTCGTTCCTAACAATTCCCTTCGTCGATCACGTACGCGTTTTCCAAGCATACAGTGCATGTTTTCCGCATGCTGAATGGGTAGCGGCTCTCCAGCCTTTGCTTCCGGGACCTCACCCACATCCAGAACATCCTCCAAACTCAGATTCATAGCTAGCAGCTCTCCATGGACGGTGGGTCTGGGGAAGTAAGCGACAGGGAGTGGTACATAGTTGATCTGCCCAGTACATATTCGAGACACATGCAATAAAACCTCCGTAAGCTGACCACACAAGGGATCGGACAAAAGTGGTCTATATACAGAAACGGTCAACCTACATAGGTCTGGTTCCATAGGAACATTTAAACAAGGAAGAAATTGCGGTCAACTTATGAAGGTGGTCAGGACATAGTAGTGGTCAACCTCGGTTTAACTGTGGTTGTATATAGATTAAAGCGGCTGTTTGGCACGAACTACAGATTTAAGCCATTCAATCGTATTGGCATCGAATGACATGAATTCACTTGTTATTTGGTTGGATCAGTTTTATCGTCGTCCATAAAAACTAAAAAACTTATCACGCAAACCAGTTCCCACACCTGTTCACAGCTCCGTTGCGCCAACTGACCTAGCGCATTCGCGCAGATGAAAGTGAGGAGGTGTAGATCCACGTTACTGCACAAATAGCCTTCATCTGAGAAGCAGGTACCTGGGCAGAAACATGTCAAGTCATGAAGTTAGCAGGAGCTGCGATCATTTGAATCATGATAGCTCAGTTTAAGCTTGGAGAATCTGACGGTCCGAGCATTGTTAAGACCAAATCTAGACGCAGCCGACTTAGTGTCTCACATAGTTAACGATAGCGATACACAGCCAAACACCGTGGGATGACGGCTGCACTTAGCGGAACGGTGCTCACCTGTCAACTGGTCGGAGTCCTGCCAAGCACATTCGAATGCTGTATTCCACGTTGGATGGGCCAAAACAGAACAAGAAGAAAGGTCCTTGGCTGCCCATGAGTGATCGCCAGGGGAACATATTTTGGGCCATTTCATCTCTTGCCTCCAACGGTTCCGGTACTTTCAGCTCCACTGCGTTGAGGCACGGTTTGTGAACATTCGATAGGGCAGAAAGGGGGAAATGGCTGTTTTCTTCCACCTCCTTTGCAAATCATAGCGAAATATACATATGCAGATGAGGTGACTGACACAATAACAACAATAACAACGCTGGATTATTCGAATAATAGCAGAAAATCAGGAATACCGTCTGTGAATAGACATACAAAGTTGGACTCTCATGACAGTGGCGGGCGGTGCGTGGCGAGCGGCTTTCGAGAAAACCATGCACTAGCAAAGAAAGTAGACGGGCATTTCAGCTGAAAACTTATCAGAAGTATTGCAAAGTGCATGATTTACAAACGTTCAGTCAAGCCGATTGTCAGCATCTAGACGCAGTGTGCACAGAATCACGCAGACTGCGCGGAGAAGCTGGGTAGGTTAAAGTTCTCTGGTTTGGTAACCAACTTGCTGGGTACATAGCTAGTTATGGAATGAGGTGATAAATACACAGCAGGTTATCGTAACTGGTAATTAACATGTTATGAGCGTAATGAATAGCGAAGCAGTTAAATCATGTGGAGAATGACATGAGTTTGGAAGTTTGCACTGTTTCGTACTTAGAGCTGAAGAAGTTAAGAGAAAGCAGATACTTGAGAGACACTTATCATTCAATTGCCATCCGAAATGGAGGCAAGCGCGTTTTTGTTAAGCTATCTGCTGCTGAATACGAAAGCATCTGTCAAACCGGCAAAGCCAAGCCCATCAGGGGTGAGATTCCAAACCCAAACTACGGCAGCCAGCACATTTGGGTCAACTGCCGCTACTCACGATGCGAGAACGCACATCCCGAGCTCCGACACTGACAGTGTCTGATGCGTCCACACGGTGAGCTTGAGCGCCGGCTAGCATACTGCCCACACAATACGTCGTCTCCCTCCACAAGTGTCAGTCAATCCGACTCCACGAGGACAGTTGGACCCGCATTAGTCTGTTGCCGCTTGCTTGAACTGTACCACAGCAATTCCAAACCTTAGTCCACCCCATCCACACCTGTTTACTGGTGGTGTCCTGTAGACACACTGCATACGATTTGATCGATACTTGAATCTGCCTGCAATTCCCTAACCATTGTGCTCCGTGGGTTACCGTCAGCTGTGCGGTGGCGATTGGTTAGATCGAGTATACTATACGAACCCATTAGATGCCAGTTCTGCAGGCAGAGTTTGCGAACTAGGTATGCCAAAACGACCCTTAGAAACAGCGCTTGAGCACGATGGGCGGTTTACGAGGAGCGAATAAGTGTTGAAAACTGCTCATCGCATCCGGATAGAAGAGCGTAACAAGATCAGAAATCAGTGCACGGTAAAGAATTCCTTTCAGTAAATTCTCATCAGACCCAAACTTTTATATAGCACTGATTAAGTGTGGAAAGGGTCGAATTGGGCCGGGGCTGACTTCTACGCTGTTTCAACGATCAAAATCGACAAATTGAGACAGGGCTATAGATGGTAAGCCAAGTGAACTAAAGGAATCTTCATACCCAAACAGTAATCTGAAGTAGATAGAAGGTAACAACCAAATAACTAAGTAACAATGTCTGTTGACCACGATAGCAGTACTGGCCGTATACATTGTTTTTGCACACATATTTCCGGCTTCAGATGGTGGATGCCAAGGCTATAGCCTAGGCAATGGATAAGAGCTACTTGCAGAATCCTTGCGAGAAGTGTTCAGGCACCTAGTGGATGAAATTTAAGACATACTCGGAAGCTGTATAGCCACAGTCAAGGAGGTGGGATATGATTGAGCTGTTTGAGGACCTCATTTCGCCTTTGTAAAACCATGCCAGGATGTACTCACGAATCCTCTGAGACATGCGCCTCGTGGTGCGACCCATGTATCGTGAACCACAGGAACACGATCACAGATAAAGATCAACGAACAGGTCAACAAGGACAATCAATCTTTCACAGATTGCTGATATATATATATATACATATATATATATATATATATATATATATATATACAAAAGCATTGTGCCCCATTCTGAGGCTGATGTTGCATTCCTGATGCTTCCCCAGTGCAGGTGGGCTAAATCAACTTACACTTAAACTAGGTCGTTTAAAGCTGAATAAATTGCATTCCACTTCCTTTGGTTTGTTCTGCCTACCTGAATAATCTTTTATCAACTGGCCACGTTGTTTACGCTAATTGCGCTTATTTTCGGTAATTTTGTTGCGTTTGTAGCATTTTTGAGTTACCTCTGGCCATTTTGTACTGACCGCGGATTGGTTGCTAAGCAACTTACTTCATATGCTAATTTAAGGTAGAGTTATGTCTGCATAGCCGTATTCTTTAACAGATATATATTATTTGATATTGTCATTTCAAGTGATTGGCTGTTGTTTGACATCTCCGGTGTGGCTGCGCTTGATGTGCATGTCTATTACCCACTACCTCGTCTATATTGTCTCTAGGAGATAGTTGGTCGTTGCTGCAGTGGACGGAGTGCACGGTCCTTGTGGCCGTGCTAGGCTCAACGAGTGGTTCCATACACTCAGTGTGGAGCGGACTACGGTCCAGCCACCGCCTTGTGTGCACTTGATTCCCCAAATACAGCGTGCTTGTGTTTACCTGTGAAGGAGTGTGGGCCGGCTCCGTTGATGAAACGTGGCTCCCATCCACATGTCTCCCGGTCTTATTCCTTCGGGTTTAAACTGGATATGGGGTGTGTGGGTGGTGCAGCGCAAGCCAACCATGGTCCCTCTGTAGGCGCAGGTGTCCTGTGGCTGGCCACAGTGACAGGCAAATCCGAAACCGGATGCCGCCAACCATACAAAGCACTTGCCCAATAAACATTTGACACAGTGCCACAACACATGATCAACAATAACAAAAAGGAGGAAGAGAGATGGAAATCGTCAGAGGAAGCGATGAAAATTTCCATGTGCTGTGTGCGCAGTGAACTTCCAGATTGCCCAGGCCGAGGATAGGTTTGTATTAAGGGGCCCAACCCCGAGCCTTTGATCTTAAATACCTGGCCCGCAAGACAGCGGGGCTCTTTCAGTCGTAGGTACAAGATATAAGCGACAGAATCGCCCTTAGATGGCAAATGTATGAAAAGCTCTTTCTTAGGAGCAGTGCACCGAAATTTATGTGGTTCTCCTATCGCCCAAAACATCAACCAGGCTGCATGACACTTCAAGGTACTGGGGAAAGACGTAGGTAAATAAACTTTATGCTTGCCCAACGCAAACAAAGTATAATCATGTTAGTCTGGTGGTTTCTAACGAACTAATTAAGAGCCGAACTAAGTGAGCAGTTGAGTAAATAAATGGACGCACAATCCGAAATAACGGGACTGACACTGTTAGTGGCTACGGATCATGCTTGACAGTCGTTCGAACCAGGCACTTCAACCTATGGAACGTGTCCGATGCAGTGAACCTCTGCTTAATTGCCACCCGAAGTGTACCATGATGGATGTAGAGGAAAGCGAAAAATGGTGTGCGTAAGAATTAACTTTTGATGCAGCGGGTGGAGAAATATAGTACCTTTACGAATGCGAGAAGTTGCTTCAACACAAGTGCTAAGGCAGGTGGAATTAAACGGTATTCCAATTGAAAAGTTTAGGCTTTTTAGTCAAGATAAAACAAGTATGTGCTATATGCATCCATGAAGTGTGAGAGTTCAGCAACCATGGTGGAGACACAACTTACAACCTGGTTTATTAGGAAAGCGGGGTAGCGTCACTAGAGCCCTGTGACACAGTGTTATTGCCTTCCTCTTATCGACAATAGGGGTGTCTCAAGGTTTTGCGTGAAATGTAAACTTCATCCATTTCCGCCTCCACAGAAACGTACTAAAACTGCACTAGAAAAATAGGTCGTAACATCCAAAGAAAGACTTTTGGGGATCAAGCGGTCGTGTTAGGTCACAAAGAAGCATTAGACTGAAAGTGACACAATTTCCTCCTCGCGAGAACCAGATGGTGGACAACTTTACGCAATGTAAGCCAGTCTGATGTGAACGGGAAAACCCCCACGTAAATCATGTCATCATTCATTTCGGGCAATCTTCGGTGCCAGAGCGTACGATGAATGCCGTCATAGTTCACCTTTCCCAGATAGACGGGCACTGATAAAATACATTAAGTTAGGACTTCATATGAAATCCCAGCCGGGATGAAAGCGTTGGGGTTATGCACTAAAAAACGTTATCCCAATACACGGTGAGCATCACAGAAAGAGTAAACAGCCAGTGGAACTGGAGATATTCACAACCAGCTACAGGGGTCCCCTCCATTTCTATGTTATGTAGAGAACTTCGAACAAGCCCAAAACAAACAGGTAGTGGACAGCAGCGACCCTAGTAAATGAACACACTCTGATAAATCGAAAAGCATGAAATCAAAACGGTTTGTAGATAGAGCTAAAGAGGTTATCACTGGGTGAGTAAAAACGATGAAAAGTGCAGTGACATTGACGACGCGTTGGTAGAGCAAAGTAAACACACCCGGCATGCCTCTTGATTTCCTGCTGCCAGAAAAGTCTCGCGCAAGACGGTGCGTATACACACATCAAACTGAAGGAACATTACGTCACGACGTAAAGTCAGTAGTTGAATAACTTGTTCTGGTTCCGTTGGGTCTGGTAGTTGGTTGATCTGATACTGAATTTCACGCAACTCTGTGGCTGGAATTGCAATGGTAAAAAGCAAATGCGTCTAGTGAGATAAAAGCAACATACCACATTGAACAAATTCAACTATATGATTGTTATCCGACCAGTCTAGGTGAAAACAGACGCCGTATAGTAGTTTTGATTGTCCACAATTCGGCTGTTATGAAGAATGCACCAGAACACGAATTCTTTTAGCCCTAGCGTGGAGGAAAGTGAGGAAGTGTAGAAAAATTGAATCTCGTGATATGTGACGCATCGCAAGTGTGACATCCGTTGAGTTGGTAAGTAGGTACGACTTGCCCACTAAGACAGACGTGTGGCACGAAGAGGCGCGAGGGGACAAAACTGTGTTTTGCACAGGTAAAAACTACAGGCGTTAATTTCGTAAGAATGTCTAACTTTGAAGGAAGCATACATACGTGCACCAGCGCGCATCTTAACAAAAGATAGTGCAACATTCTCTACATGAGATAGTGTGTTTAGAAATGTACTTTTGCGATCTCTCAGTGAACTACTATTATCTCCGAAGAAGACCAGAGAAAATCGGAATCGTGTGATCAATGTGGGATGTTATTTGCAGGTGCCACCTGAAGTGCAAGCCACGAGCATTTCGAAGCGGTTCCAGTTTAGGCGTTTAGAAAATTACCAAGCCAACTTTACGTAATGTCTCATAAGCCTGTGCGGACTTGCTGCCTTTTTTGACAACTAAGCACCATTATTTCAGAAGGTTTGGTAAACGACCGGTTAATGTATTTGTTATACTTTACAACGTTTCCCTTTTGACTCAAAAGCTTCATCGAGTGAAGTGAATTATCTTATCGTTTGCCAAACCTTTTGAAACCATTACTTCTCGATCGATTCCAGATATTTTCCATTATTTTGGCCGTGGGTGAATTGGGTGTGATTTGGTCGCTCATAGTCAGAAACGGGGTGTGTATCATATCATGAGCAAAGGAAAATATTACATCTTGAAATTTAGTGGGTAAGGCCATGAGACTGGAATGTGGACCTGTTAACGAGCTCATCGTATCATCGTGAAAGCATTGGAATTGTCTCAATAGTGAGAGGTGTTTAACCAAGGCCAACAAAGACAGGTTGTTTACATCTGACAAATGTGAATAGCTGTGGGAGTTTTTGTAGAATAAGGAAAGTTGCATGGGAGAAAAGCTTGTTTCCTGTAAAAGAGCACGGTTATTGCAGAATGTATGTGACCACCAACCGTTGGAATGGATGAAGTGTACGCGATTCGTAGAATCGTAACCCACTGAAATGCACTCGTATGGTTGGACACCTTTTATACAGCAGGTTGTGCAGCTTCTGTCTGCCGAGACCCTTAAGGGAAATTTTGTGTTCGAGGACCAAGGAGTGTGTGAGGTCAACCACTTTGTACTCAGCACGTCTAGATTCTGTGGGGTGTACAATACGCCACATGGAATCTAGCTCGATTGCAAGTGAGAATCAGAGATAGGTAGTTTTATTAGAAATCTTAACATCACAGATGCACCTGCCATCAGTTAGCAACTCTGAGATTGTATTCTGGTCATTGGATTTATGCTGGAATGCTCTGCAAATGTCGGGCGTGATGTCCTTAGTTAGGCATTATTGACAATATCCATCAAAAGCAACGCAGCCGAACTTGTACTTTCCTTCCAAGCGACTGGCCACAACGCGTTGTGACCACCAGCCTCAACTTTTTCTCTTTGGTTCACCGCAGGCAGCATCTGGATGAAATAAAACAAGGTCGTTCGAGTTATTGTGAAGACCAACTGTGAATCTGTGCTAAGCGGTGGGGAACTGGACTCAGCAATGACCTTCAAGCGGAACCAGTTTGTTCGACGGCAGGATGCTTCAAAAATCAGGGATCAGAGTTTTATGGTTTCATAAAACTGGTTCGAAATGCAGTCTGTTCTCTTTGGTTATTTTGACCTCGATGGTCACAGATGTATGCCTGGATAGGATAGCTAATTTATACTTTTATGCTGGCAGTTTTTTCATCGAAACAGACAAAGGAAATTCGTCTGCTCCCTTCTATTTCCTTATTGTACTTTCTACACCCAACCCTCCAGTTCTATGTCACGTATGGTATGTCACATATGTTTGGATGGAAGAATGCAAAACAGTCGCGACAGTACCAAAAATATACGCACATTGCGTGCCCTGAGAAAAGACCGAGCAATTCCAACATTTGTCCGGAGATCCACTCGGTGAAGTGTGTTTCATATCCAATATGCACAAGACTGCACCTCCGCACACAGTCGCGTGGGAGCAATGGGCACCGCTGAATCCTTTACTGTGTTTGCATGAACGCAACGTAGCCTTGCAACTGCTATCCAAATTCGACGGCGTGTCACTTGCCGAGAGACGAGGGATCGACAGACTACAGTACGTGGAGCAACGTAAACGGCGCCATTGCGTAATTTATGGAACACAAATGTACACTCCCGTAGGTGAAGTTCCTTCTACCAGAATCCTGTTACGTGCTTGCTGCTCAGCGTGTTCTTCTTATTCTTATGTATGGCGAACGTTCGTTTAATGCTAAAGAAACTGCGCACGTATACAACACCCTTAAAGCTGCAACGGCTGTTATGTGCTGAAATTGGTGAAAGAGCCACACAAAACTGGGAGTGTGCGCAACGCCAGAAAATCAGGGCGACCTAGCACCAGTACGGAGGATTTTGCAGCTGGCACTGTTCTGCGTGATTTATCTAAAACGCCCGATCTAGGCATACGTAGATTCGTCTATCACAGTGGCGCAACGCGATACACTATTCGGAGAATTTTAAAAAAGAAAGTTCGGAGGTTTGGGGCGCTTCAGGTTCAGGTATTGAACCCAAACGATCCAGATTAAGGGAGTGCATTTTACCGTTGGTTTTTGGATCACATGAGCATTCACTCCATAATTTCTGCTGTCGAATCAGTTTTCTATTTGTATGGAACAGACAAACAGCATTTCTGGGCTAGATCTAATCCACGCCTATACACAGCGTCACTTATTCAGCATGGCGCGAACCTCATGGTTTGGGCTGGATTACCTGGTTTAAAAATCGTGGGAACATTTTTCTTTTCCAGCAACATGACCGGTAAGTTGTGTTACTTCTCTTAACCCTTACTTTTCGTAGCATTGTCGCACAAAAATTGCTCCGATCCTGTGTACCTCTACCGTTGGAGGCCGACGGTGTTTCACATACGATTCGGTGTACCCAGACACCATGCAATGCAGCCTTCATCGTCAGCTGCATACATATGTCACCTTGCCGTGCCTCTAGTTGTGAACACAACGCGCTTATAGTAGGTCAGGCTATTGGCGTGATGTATATTTTACCAGTTCCCATTCGAGTTACTACTTCTGTCGCAGTGATAATTCCTTTCAGCGAACCTCCCTATGACATTACTTACGGTTAATCTAAGGTGGAGTTTCGGGAGAATGTTTGATTTTGTGTGTAACAGTCATTATGCTTCTTGACGGGACCACGGTGCTTTGCTACAGCTCTAATCCGTATTGTTTGCTACTGATCATCTTTCGTCTGTTTATGCCTTCGAACTGAACGTTCGCCCTTACTTTATTCTGTTCCCCACACCTATATATATCACATTGTACTCGATTATAATCGACGACGAGTACCGTACTCGTTCGCGTACAATGGACAAGATTACGTCAACGGCTTCTAGGTGATCAACAGTCCTAACACGTAGATCCACACATTTTCTAACATAATCAGTGCAGATCGTAAATATGGCAGCACAAGAGATTTCGGTAGTGGTTCAGCTAAAAGCAATTCGCCTTCCAGCGACATAGACCGCATCAAATAGCATAAGCTATCTACTAATGAAAGCAATATTAGTCAGGTTTTAAGACGAGATGGACAAATTTGAGAGGCTTCCAAATAAACAAAACTGCTGTCGCGAATGTCGGGGATATAGGAATAAAGAAAATTGCGGCTTACCTAATGTGGACATGGGCCCACCGTCAAAGTCACTTATGTCCTCTGAAAAATTGCAATTAAAATAGAAAAATAAAGGGGACGTGAGTAAATCATTTAGGGATATTATGTACTGGTACACAGGTATACAAACTGTAACGATCTTAGGGCTACATGACTACCCATTGCAGTGAATGGGAATTACTAACTATCACAATGGGCGCTGTAAGACCACATGCCATCTGCTAACTAGCAAAACCGTTGAACAGCTAAGGGTTGCAGCATTATCCACCATACTGTACTCAACTTTATCACAAAGTTGTGCGTTACCTCAAAACAGCAGCGGTTGATTGAATCCGTCACTATGTCTTCACATGGCAAATGAAAAACACTCATATGTAGGAGAAAGTCGTGTCCAATGAAAGCTCCTGGTCTCTAAGCTAAGTGAGTTGTAAGTCAGTGTGTTTTGACCTATGGAACAGTGGAATCATGGTTCAATAAGGGAAAAAACCAGTTAAAGCCTAACAGTTCCGTATGTTGGTAATGGTGAATATTACAAACTATGGAAATGTGTCCGCAGAAGTAAGTTCCGATCTGTGGACTCACTGCAGTATTCGTACTAAAAATTTCGAATCCCATGTAAGCCCTCAAGATATGACGACAGATGGAACGTGTGTAAAAATCATGTCGTCTCCTAGAGAATACGTACAGGAAATCAAAATAGTGAAACGTCTCCCATAATCTGATCGATAGTGAAGTCTCTACGAGACACTCGTGTTTGGCCATGGGCAAAAATTGATGGGACATAGTGCAGCGAAATGAGTGCAGGGTCAACTAGGGCTTTGAACTCTACCAGTGTGGGACCATTCAACTATTGGCAAACACATAGGAAAAAATTACTGACGGTATTCTAAACGACTGTACAATCTGCCAGCTTGAGGTGGCGGCCCCTGAGATTATTGTTGTGACTAGCTCCAGCAGATAGCGACACGTTTGGTTGGTATCCCGCAAAATCCTGCAAGTCAAAATGCAGTCGCCACACAATCGCCGGTATCGTCCGCCGAAGACTCCCAGCACTCTCAACCTTTGTTCATAAGGCAACATCCTTTGACGTTCATAGTTGCTAGCCGTTATGGTAACTCCAAGCTGGTAAGATATCTCCTCAGCCATGACTGTCAGACCCGTATTGCGTATTAGACGTGTGGACGTATGTATGAGCCGAAGAGTTGCTGAAATATTGACGGGTCGGATCGTCCAAAGGCACCATGCCGGAGATCCACCTTTTTGATACCCCTTATTGATGCCTTTTCAGCCGGATTCAAACAGCCAAGGTTAGCCTGGATCCAAAAGCCCAGATCCTTTCCTCTTGAAGACATTTGACACTTTCAGTGGCCTAGTTTATAGCAACATGCCAGCTGATGCCCGTAGGTGCAGTGCTGTACATTTTCCCATGATAAACCGAAGTAGCTTCTGGATTGACCAGCCGTAAACTCTAAACAGATCGGCTTGAAGTAATGTAATATCATCTGGCGTGTGGATCGCCCTCCACATCTTGTGGTTATCGGCATCGAGTAGGCAGTTCGAGCTTATAAGGCCTGTGATACCACTGATATACGTCAAGAAACGATTTGGCCCCCATACAAACTCCTGTGGTACCTATCATTCTACTTGGATGTGAGCTGATAGGGATTCAAACATTCGTACCTCAAAGCGCCGGTGTAAAAGTAAGCGTCTGGTCCACCCTAGGGAAGAAGCACTTACACCAGAGGTCTTGAGTTTGGAGAGCAGAACGCCATAGTCTAACCGGTCGAATGCGTTCTAAATATCGAGAAAAACAACATCGACTTCTGCACCAGTGTTTTCTGATTCGGACCATCCAGTTCGTGCTAGTAGTAGGTTTGTATTACACGATCGATTTTATCGGAAGCCGTGCTGTTGTGGTGAAAGGTCGATAATTTCTCCAAATTAAGCCGTTAAGGCATCGAAAATAATGATTTCCAGGCCCTTCGAAAGCACCGGCAGAAGGGTTACAAGACCGTAGTCAGTTGGATCGGAACGACTACCTCCCGTGAGATTTGGAGTTAACCTTCCATGTTTTCGCCTATCAGGCACGTACAGTTCATCGAAACAGTTTTGGAAGAGTCGAGCCAAAGAGTCAGATAAGATCTGTTCTACCTCCGCAAGTAACTGTGTGAATATTATCAAGTCCGTGTGAGTTGGAATTACGCAGTCAATACAGTTTCTGCCATGAAGAACAGTTGAGCGAGTATTGGTAGTGAGGCAACACTTGCCATGGGGTGATGTGGCCACGAACGCACCGAAATTTGGAGCATATTGCGACTAAGGGTATTCTGCGTATCCTACCTGGCCAGTGTCAGTCCATCCGTTTTTTTGAAGAGGAGGGATTTCCCGCTTCACCTTACATAGGCTGTTTACATGTGGATACAGCAGCTTGTGATTGGAGAACATATGCTCTGTCAACTTCTGCTGGTCTGACATTGTATCCTCAGAGACAAGTCGAGTACAGTGGTTACGATGAAACGATCTGCAAGAACTATACTGGGGACACTCCTGCAAATCACTTCTAACCACATACTCACTGAGGCTATAGGTTCGGTGAATTCCGATCCAAATTGGTGCGCGAGCATTACTTTTGTTTTTATTTTATTGAGGGAAATGATTAAATGTTCGGAATACGCATCAATTTTCCTCAAACAGTGAATGTCTCATCATTGCGTAGCAAGTATGAAGCGGCAAGAAAGCACTCTGTCTATTACACGCGACCACGGTTAACCAAGCTGTCACGCCCGCGCGAATATGCCGGTCATGTTTCTGTCTCAGAGCGCACCATACACTGGAAATTACTAGCTATCACATTCTTGCGTCGTTTCCTCCCAACATGGTAGGTCTTGGCCACCTATTTGACTCCCTATATTTGTTGCCGTAAATCGCAACCTGACCAGTCCAGTTATTCCGTGGCTCATGATTTGCTTGATCGCGGTTGTCTTACTCCACTTGGGACTACTCCTGGAGGCACCAACAAATGCGCTTCTGTCTTACGTACCGGCATTTCGACCAATGCCTTCTCTGTTATCATTGGCCCAGGCCTGATACTGTCCGTCGCTCGCGATCCGCACTCCTGTCATTCTGTTGGACTTGCGTTACGTCGCCAGATCACGTCTATGATGCCTGTTTCTGTCTTTGCTCGTCCTTGTGATTTTCCAGTCCCGCGTGATCATCAGCTTCCGCGTCACTGCAATTGGAGTAGGATTCCTGCGGCGGCGCCTGAAAACAAGCGAATTGCGTCCAAGCATTCCAGTGCCAATTTGTCAACTTTCTTTTTTGCGATAACCTGTTTCTGCAATGGGCCCAAGTTGCAGTTTCCAAGACAAGTTATTAGGTACACCCCAAGAAAGTCTTACGATCTCAGTTATTGAGTACGCTGTGACGGGCGTTGAAAAACTTTGTGCCGGAAGCAGCCCAACGTTGGTAAGTGTGGTAACAATGCGATGGAAATTTGTGTCAAATCCCGCAATCTTGACGGAATAAAAAACAAGGTCCGATAGAGATTACTTACCGACTATTTGATCCATCACCAGACTACGGTTGTTTACGGTCAAATCCAAAGGAGTCACAGACAGAGGGGGAGCAGCCAGTGTCATGTTCATACTGCCGATGGTACCGGCTGCTACCATCTGTGCCATTGGTGTGTTGGCACTGGCAACGCCTGCAATATTAGAGGCCGCTTCTTCAGTCGTGGGTGGTGGACCTCGTCGTTCCTCAGGACCCGCGTTTTGCATAATGTTCTGTTTGTAGTGCACGTGAAAAGTGAAAAGAGTAAGTTTAATTAGAGAACTGCTACGGTCTGTCAAAAAACAGCTGTGTGTATGAATCGGTAACCAGCGACTTTTCAGGCGTCAATAATTGTACACGTCAAGCAAGTAACCATGACGTGTGTGTTGAAATCCGGTAATCACAGTATTGAAAATTTATGATGGAACAGAAGGACAAAAAGTGAACGAGAAACATACCAAAAAGCAACGACCTATCGAAGGAAGTGACTGCATGTTAAATAGACCGAATTCAGGGGCGTACTGGCTAAGTAGACTGAGTAATGTCGGACAGGGCATCAAGACTTACGCGTAATCAAAACTTGGATCGCCGTCCAGTTAAGTGACACATATCAAACTAACTAGGTATTCCAATCGGTGAACATGTGGTTAACATCCAGTGAGATAAGTGGAATAGTTGATTTAAGTGCCGACCGTGTACAACCAATAGCACGCAACTGCGGTCTGTTGTTGCACACGAAAAAAGGTTTCTAGGTCACAAGACTGCAGTAAGCTCACGTTTCACATTCGCGAAATGGAATTGGCTGCTGTGATGGGATAAACTACCACGCGCGAAGTCTGAGCATACTTAGAGTGATAGTGAAGATAATTCGTTTTCCCTAGAAGACGTCAAGTACGAAGAAACTGGACGGTATGTGCCCTTGCTTTAAGACGGAAACAGATTGAGATCGAACTATTACTACGGAGAGATTGTTTTGAACTATCACTTCTGTTCTTGACGGCTTATCACCAAAGTTGGATTAGATGAAAGCTTCAGGGGCTATTTACTGTTCTTCGATAAAAACAACATGGTGATTAAATTTTTCACCATTTTGCGAATGCAGCTGTTTCCCCACTAAATCGGAACTTAGGCAGCAGAGAACTCTAGGGTAGAACGACAAACCTAGGCCTAGCCGAATCGCTAAGTCCTCAAATCCATCCTCCATGAACCACACAATTGGGGTGAGAATTATGACAGCAGGGAGTTCCGCAGCCTAGACAAAAGTCTCGTCTTAGGAAACTTCACAGACCCCGGAAGCTTTGATACACGCATACACTTGCTACTGGTAGTCGGATGTCATCTCACAACCCGGCACGGCACATCACGATGATGAGCATCTGTTGAGCTTTCGTGCCATCGTACTCGTATAGCAACGCACAGTTAATAATGTAAGAAGATTCATATACGAAGTAGGCTCAGCCAATGATGCACAAAGAAGTTACATTATTGGCGATTCTATAAAAAATGAAACGACTGCTCAGTGCTTTGCCGGATGTGCAATGGTTGTCTAACTGAATGTGGCTGCGACGAACCTCCTTCGAAGCACCACAAATGCTGCTTGGCTCAACGGGTGATACTGTGTACCAGCGCTTCAGAATTATTGCAATAGTTCGGTATGGGCTTCCCGTTTAGTTCAGACCAGTCTAACGACTTAAAGACCCCCTTTCTGGCTAAAAATTGATATGCAAGATGTTCCAGAATTAGATCTTCATTTGTATCTACACGAATGAAGCAGTTTGCTTTTCTTAAAACGTTGACCGCGTTGGTTCGAGTTGCTCATGCCTCGGACACCGTAGAAGTCTCACCTTGTCAACTACGCTGGCCAGCATGCATTTGCGATTCCTCTAAGCAGAAGTTTTCACAGTACCATCACAGCTAAGGCATCTGTTAAGGTGTTTCAATAAGTTTAGCTAGTCTATCCGATTGTTTGCTGTCGTTCCAGTACGGTTGAATGACATGTAGTCAATTTCGCAACGGCACACGTGCTATACCGGCTTTAAGTTCTTGAATGATCAGTGTATCGGGGAAGTTATAATCCTGACTCCCTAGGTTCTTCACCTGACGTTTAAGTCGTATTCGAAGCTACAAACAACAAAGATAGGCTGCGATGGACTTCGTCCAACGAAAAACAACCACATTTATGGGATAGTCGCAGTTCATTTCACAGATGTTCGTTGGCGTCCAATCGTCTGTGTCTTGGCCTTGAAGGCCGGTTGTGTTGCACTTGCTAACTGATTACCCTGGCGTATTTTGTGCACTAATCTGCTACATGAGTAATCTTGGTCTGCTCACCACCTCGATTCCCTAGCGCGCCGTGGAGCTGTGCGTATGCGTTTGTTCTATGCAGCCCCCGAAAAGGAAATACCTACAAGCTTCGATTTATAAATATCGTGTCCTGAGAACTACTGATGAGATTCGTTTCCGAGTCACGTGGAACAGTGCGCCCCTGATTAACAGGCTATATGATATTCCCATTACCGCTCCTGTAACGTAAGTTTGGTAAAATCACCGCCAATTTTTGGTGTACTATAGTAGCCAGGTAAGATCTAATAACTGTGGGGTTGGAACACTAGCGTATCCCAGCACCGTGCAAGATCTGAAATTACGTCGGGCCCTCGTTGGAAATCAGTTCAGTTTACCTGAACCGACTTTAAGTGGTGCAAAGTAGTTAGCGTAGAATGTCTACAAGATAACAAGGCGGCGTCAACAGTGCGCAGTACAAGTACATCCGAACGACGAACACGTCACTGGCCTCAATGTGCCCAAAAAGTGGATGATCACAAATAACTATGACAACTATTCGTATTTGACTTAGGGGCTTCTTCAGGCCATGCTCTTGTGTCAAGAGCGAAGCGTTGCCACAATACAACCTTGTACCAAACCGGTTTGCATTCAACTTCTTCCGAACATGAATTCCAAATCGGTTCTAAGCTTGGAAATGTTTCGGTGTTGCTCATCCCAACGCTGGCACACCACGACCGCAGTTCCAAGCTTAGTTCGAAATAGTGAAGTCATCCTGGGAATTGGTAAATCTGGCCGTGCGTGCTTTTTGTTTAACTCCGAACCCCATGACTGTACAGCGATTCCGACTATAAGAAAACAAGTCGCTACATGGGAAAATTGCTGGCGACCATTCCAGCCGAATCAGCCGATCCTACTAGCTTCCACATGGTCAAGGAAGCCATTAGGTCAAACCATACATACATACAGTATACAAGTTGGCTACAGGTGGAAAACACCTCACGTATGGTGCCGTAATACAAAGAAAAGAAAAATGAGGGACAGAGGCTGAGTCACCAGTAACGGATGAACATCGTTCCGGAGAGCTAACAGCCGGCTATTGTGCCGCTAGAAGTCATATAATACCTATTAATTGAGATCGTAGTTGGAAGGGGAGAACAAGCAGAGGGAGATGGACGAAGGAACTCACAACACAAACGCCACTGAGGTCGGTTCCTAGCCATGTCAACGTCCTCATCGTCCTTCGGTCCCCAACCAGGGAGCTGAGATACCCCAAGCGAGGCCAACTTCAAAGTAAGGGCCCTCATTCCTCTTGACCAAGTCCTCGCTTGGCCACCTCTCCTCGTCTTCCATCCGCACTCCCGGTGCGTAAACAACGCACATGGCGGAAGTCGGTGGGCTGGGATGCACAACACGTGATCCAGCCATCGGAGCCTGGTACGTGCAATAACGGTGCTAAGCGGCTCGCTTCTTCTTCTCGCGTCGTAAACAAGGTGTCGAACACACTCATTTCTCAAACGGTGTTCCCACCAGATATGAGCCAAACTGCAAAGGCACCGGTGGTCAAACGTAAGTAGTCTCTTGATATCCGCTTATCTAGGGGGCCAGATTCCACAACCGTACAATAGGGTCGAACGTACGGCTGCATTGTATACTCCATCCTTCAGAGCGAAAGGGATGTCGCTCCGGCGTCATAGGTGTAAACGGTTAGCAAATGTGCCTCGAGCTTTTGCTATGCGGTTTGTGACCTCATCATCGATTCCGACGGCGTTGATACAACTACCTATGTAGTTGGACTGTTAAACGACTTCTACCTGATCCCCAGGAGGCAGTCCCTGTCAAACTTGAAGGAAAGCTTTGCACTTCCAAGGTTCAAAGCATAGGCCGAAACGGACAACAGCCAGTGTTGATTTGTCCAGTGCCACCTGGCAAGTTTGGGAGCTGTTACAGCTGAGGGTAATATCGTCACCATACTCCAAGTCAATAAATCGTTCACCTGGGAGCAGCTCCACACCTGTGTCCTGTGAACGAGATCTCCATGATTGGTGGTTAGTTGTTGCTCCTCCCAACCCTGACACCCCATAACCGGTTTCGTCCTCCTTTGGACTCAGCAGATGGAGATAGCCTGAGTTGGGTTGGACCTCGTGGCGTAATGTTCAAAGGTTGGCACCTTGACCACTATGGCTCCTAGGTCCGCGAGCAACGCTTGGCACAGCGGTAAAGCGTTCCAGGTGGCATTTGGTGTACCTGCTGTGTGGTTGGATTGCGACTCGCAATCTCTATTCAGACCTCGGTCCTGAAGTAGACCTTTGTCAATACGATCGCAAGGACCGTAACCGAATTGGTGGTTAGTTGTTGCTCCTCCCAACCCTGACACCCCATAACCGGTTTCGTCCTTCTTTGGACTCATCAGATGGAGATAGCCTGAGTTGGGTTGGACCTGGCGGCGTAGTGTTCAAAGGTTGGCACCTTGACCACTATGGCTCCTAGGTCCGCGAGATCTCCATGACTTTGTCAATAGCGACGTTGAAGAAGAAAGTTGACAGCGTACACTCTTGTCTTATACCACTGGAGATATTGAAGGGCGGCGATAGCTTGCCGTAAGCCCTCAGTTTGTCCGAGCTACGCGCGTAAAGCGCTTGCATAATATTTACATATATCGCGGGCACACCCTTCCTGAGTAGGCAATCCTAAAGGGCACATCGATCAACCGAATCAAATGCAGCTTTGATATCGAAGAACACGACAACGGTGGGCCGCATAATATATGTGAGGGTACTCTAACAACTGCCGCAGGATGAAGATGTGGTCGATGCATCCCTGACCACGACAATGAACAATGAACAATGATTTATTACGGGATAAAAGCAAGTGATTGACATGTCCCCTGGGATGGTTGCGGTGAATATGATGCAAGTAAAGTATGTCTGGGTCATCTATCGAACGTCTGCCG